TTTCCCTACTCGCTGCCCCAGCAGCTGGCATAAGAGAGGAGCATTTAAACTCCCTCCCCTTCCTGCACAGGACCCCAGACAGGGTCTGCTTGGCAGATAGCACAGCCTGGGGCTGCAGAGCATCCTGTGATGCTGGAGGACTGAGAGTTAACTTGCACCAGGAAGGGATCTAGGACAGAGGTTCCATAAACCGGTTTGACCTAAATCAGTTCAGTCTGATACTACGTCTGACCAGGTTTGTTAAACCAGTTTGGGACATTTTGAAAGCAGTTTAAGTGCACTGAACTTCTGTTACAGGTTTAAGCCAGTTTCTGATCACTAAAATCAGTTTGTGTAACTTCTGTCCATAGCATATAAGGTCAAAAGTAGTGCAGTAGATGAAGCAATCTGATTAGTGAGAAGAGGGAGAGTTTTCAAGAAGAGGATAACAATTACTTGTAAAGTGTAGGTAGAGTAGTAGCAGTATTTATTAGTGGTAATAAGCCTTAAAGCCTCTGTCTGTATTAAGTCCAGAAATTTTACTTTTCAGTAGAATTTTTGTTCCTGGGGTATTTTTTTTAGGTTTTTTTTTTGAGCACAAGGATTGTGAGGTCAGAGAGGGAGTGGTTGATTGGTAAAAAGTCTGTTCCTACTGGTCTCTGTGTATCTCCGTCCTTTATATATTTTTTTCTGTGACAGCTCACTCTGGTGCATAGTTCCCCTGTTTTCATGCCCATTGTTCCCATGAGGGCATTTGGTACACTGTGTATGAGATATACCAGGTTCTGTGATATACATGCATAGCATCTCTTAATTCTGATGTTCTTGTTGTGTGAGTGCAGTTGATTGGTTTGGTTTCGGAGACATGTTGACAGATTTTGAGGAGTTTCTGCCTGAGCAAAAAAGGGGCGGGCGGCTGGCCCAAAAACAGGTGGGCAGGCAGAGATCTAACCGGCACTAGAAAGGCCCCCTGTTACAGGCTACCATCCCTGCTGCTGTTTTCATCCAAATCTGCCTTAACACACACAAGTAATACAAGTTTTGCTTTCAGCAGTTTGAGGGGAAGGTTCCCAGAAACCACTGCACCTATCTCCTTGAAATTTGGCAGGCTTAATGCCCTCAGAAGGGACTACCATCCCTGCTGTTTTTCACCCAAATCAGCCAAAAAATGACAAAGTTATAGGTATTTCAGTAATTGGACATTATAGGCTATGGCCGAATCACCGAATCTCTTTGAATTGTCACCTAATCTTCCAAAGTCGATTTGCCCAAATCAGTTTGAGACAGTGATCCAAATCTCCGAATCAAATCACTGTCCTCTGAATTGAAATCAAATACTTCCCTATTCACACAGGCCTAGTATAGAAACTACCTTTGTGTCTTAGTCTTTCTGCCTTTTGTTTTCCTATGCTTCCTTTTTTTTCCTTTTCCACTTAGTCATGTGCCCTCATTTCCTCTTTTTGCATGATTATTTTTTTTATTTTTACAGTCATGAAAGAGTTTCTGATGTAGCCATATTGATCTTTTACTGTGCTTTCTATTTTTCCTTCACATTAGGGTAGCGTGCTCTTGTGCATTTAATATTCTCCTTGAGTAACTGCCAGGTGTCCTGAGCTCTTTTCTTTGTCTTACATACTAATATGCCCTACTTACCAGTTTTCTGAGTTTGAACCCTATGGTGTTTTTTAGTTTGTTTGTTTATTTATTTATTATACTGCTCCTTTTTCATAGAAAAGTGAATTTCTATCTTTGTGTCAGTTTCACCTAAGTAACCTTCCACCTTTGAATTCTTTGTCAGTCTCCTCCTGATTAGGTGGTGTTATAGACACATATCATATCATCACTCCTGTTCTTTTTCCTTTTAGCTTGATTCAGAGACAACCAGCAAAAATGCCTTTCACCTGTTCTTGAGATTCAAAACAAGTGTTTATATTGTCAATGTAGAGCATACCACCTCCCTTTTTTTAATCTGCTTGCTCTTCTTGCATAGGCTAAACCTTGCAATTTTCACACCAGATCTATGACGCCAGTCCAATCCATGACCAACACTGTGACTTCAACTTCTTCCTGTTTATTAATGTGTTAGATGTTTGATATAGACCACATCTTTTTCCCCACAATTCCTCATTTGTGGAACACCATCCAGTGGGTGAAATCAAAGATCTCCCACAAACACTGTTGACTTGGCCTTGCATTCATGTCCTGTATGCTGGGTCAGTTTCCCTGTTTTCTATTTTCTATTGTCACAGTGTTCTGGGCAGTCTTTGGCGTACTAATTAACACAAAAAATGTTACAGAGAGAATCTTTTTTTCCTTCAGTTCACGTTATTAAACCTTTATTTGCTTTGCAGTTTTTAAGGAACTTCTAACAAGATTGTCAGAGGAGAAAAGAAATGGTGCTCCCCACCTGCCTAAAATTGGTGATATTAAAAAAGCAAGTCGTTACTCCATTCCAGACCTTGCTGTTGATGTGGAGCAGGTGATAGGACTAGAAAAAGTTAATAAGAAAAGCAAAGCCAACACAGTTGGAGGACGAAACAAACTAAAAAAGATACTTGATAAAACGCGAATCAGTATCCTGCCTCAGAAACCGTACAAGTAAGCACTTTTGATTTCCTGTAAAATGCTTCATTTGTTAACTATTCATATTTAAGCAGAAGGACATGTTAAATCTTTAAAAAGAACTGTTTTTGTTTTCTTTATGAACTGTCTGGTACCTTATTTGATAGTTGGACAGGTATTTATCTTGGCTGTTATTCCTATAGCGAATATTTGCACACTCTTGATGCTGTTAACATTAACCATACTTGATGTTAGCACTTACTTTTTCTGTTGTTTTTAATGAAATTCTGGTTTAAACATTTTTACATTTTGACCTTTCTGCCATGGTAAGTGTTAAAAGGTCCTTTTGCAATTATGATTGATATTAGTGAGTATAGTTGGTTTGCAACTGGTTCTGAGCAGCGATCATGTGTGTGTTTCTCCATCCCAGTGACAGTTGTTTCATGCTACTAGAAGGGCAAACAAAGCCAAAATGCCCAAACCAGATTTAAACCCATGTCCTTCAATGGAGTTGGATAGATTTTACACAGGTGCTAAATTGTATACCTCGTGTATCTTTTCTAATCTGGCATCTTTTGGAGGTGATCTTCTTAGCCCGTGGTTAGAAGGGATGTACTGTGGTGGTAAAAAACTCTTATCTGACCAATACTGAGTCTCTTTTAAAGTCTTACTGGTGGAGTTGGTGGGGTCTTACTCTAACTTGAGAATGGGGGAATATGGAAGTGAAAAAGATGAAACACCAACTTTACTCGGTCAAAGCAAAGGAAAATTTGCTGATATAATAGAACCAACAGCACTTCCCTTCTGTATCCCCATATCAAAAAAAGTTTTTCCTAATATCTAATTATTAAGCACCCTTTACTATATAATAGTTTTGCATGTTTATGCTCTTTTAGTTTTTCTGTTGAACTATATATATTGTTTGCACTGTTCTATATTAGCAATATTAATAGTATCAAAACTGTCTTAGGAAAAAAATGGAGGAAAAAAGTGACAGAATTTCTCTTTGCAGGTTCTAATTCCTATTCAGAAGACTAGTAAGAGCCAGAAAAACAATATGGTTGACCTTAAAATCCCTTTCTCTTTGCTAGTCTTAATCCCTGCATTATGTATAGCAATTTAGGTCTTTAAAGCCCATTGACATTTCAGCTGTTTGTGAAAGTGTGATTCCCACATAGAGATGTGTGGGATGTAGCTTTTCAAATACGTGCCTTCACTCCCAGCAAACTTCTGACTTGGGTTTCTTAATAATTAACAGCATTTCAGTCACAAGGGACTTCAAGTCCTCATTTGTTCTTTTTTGGAAACCTCAAATAGAAAGCACATAAGCAATGTAAATACCTACTGTCTTGCCTTTCAAAGAGGTCATTTACTAGTTAATAAACATAAATAAATAAAGATCTTTTTACCTTCTTTGCTACTTGGGCAGGAAATATATATTCTTCAAATTGTTAATTCTTTCTGTGTTAATAGTACCTCAGCGCACACTGAAAAAATACAAAAGTAACTGAAATTCATGTACTTCTCCCCCCCTTAAGCCTCACGCTTCCTTGCCAGCACCCCTCCCCACTACCACCAAATAAAGTATTTTGAAAAACAGCAAGAAAAAGTATGTTGTGGCAGCACCCAAGATTGCATATAGTGTTACTAGTCATAAGCCTGATTTTTCTAGGGTTTATTTTTTGTTTACAGTTCATCAGGATCTCACTGATTATTTTTTAATTTTATCCAAGCTTCCATTTGGGCTTAAAAAAAAAAGTAAATGCTTTGTACTTGCAGCTTACCATTCATGTGAGATTCTAATAGCACTTTTGAAACTTTTTTAAATCTTTACATCAGAATTAATTTGATCTGTGTTGATCCACTTGAGTAAAGTCACTTCTAGTTTATAACACAGCATGTTTAACAATGCATGGTAAAATTATACAATAAGTTGATAGAAAGGAAAAGGAGTACAGTATCTAGTTGAAACTGTAGGAGGACTTTATGAAGTAGGTAGGATATCATTATTTGAGTTTGTATTTAGCCAAATATTGATGTTGACACCTCTTCTGTGAAAAATACCATCAGTTGTTGCTATGACCAGAAGTGATTGGATCATTGTTTTTGTACTTGAAAAAACAATACATCCAGAAGTATTGATGTCCTTGTGGTTACATAGCAAAATGTGTTCAATAGTGGAAAGAGAGTTGACTGTTCCCTCTTGAATTACCATTGCTGCTGCTCACTGCACGCTAGACTTTGCATAGAGCAGGGGTTACTGACCTATCTGGCCTGCAGAGCTACTGCATGTGACACACAGAGTGGAGGCTTCAGCAGCTGGGTGCTTGGATGGGCAGGTGCTTTTCCCATGCTGCACCATGACTGGGCAGCAGAGAGAAGCAGCAGCAGCAGCTGGCTTCATAGTTCCGGTTTACCTTCAATCCAAGCTGGATCATTCTGGTTCACCACTGAAAAATGTTGCCAACATCTGGCATAGAGAAATCTCATCAAATAAATTGTAGCTTGTTCCTGCTTTGCTTCAGAGAGCAATAGGATCCCTGCAGAAGATGCAGCATTGTTTCCACCGTTATTAAAGCATGAGAAAATATAGTCTTTCTTAAAATTGTTTTGATCACATAGCCTTAACCTGACTTTGCAGAAGTAAAGCACGTTTCCAGTGACCTGAGGGAGAAACCTTTCTTTTTCCCTCTGGAAAGGGGTTACTCAGTCCATACAAACACTGCTGTTTCCCTCTATCATTCTCTAACTACAGGCTTCAGTACTGTCATTCATCCAAATCAATATCAATCTGCAACCAAAAGGACTCTATTCTTGACTATTCTATGGTACCTGATACTAGCACTGGTTTGTCTTCAGTCATTTGCTGACCAGATTGCTTCTCAGATTGCCAGTGCTAACCAGATTGTTTCCCAGATCCACTGTGAACAGCACTAAAAATAAGGAAATAGGACAGGAGGAGTATGTTGGGTGAATGGCTGCTTCTGTAAGCACAGGAAAGTATAACTAAATGTAATATGACAATCCTAAATGGAAATGCGATTTATGATTAACTAAGTCAGTTCCTTAAAGTTTTCATGTAGATACTCTGGTTAGTGACCAGCAGGCTAAGATTTCTAAAACATAGCTTAAAATTAAGCTCCTACATCCTTTTATATTGTAAGCATGCCAGTTTCTTTTTAGGCTAGATGCCTGTGCATGGCAATTCAAAATGAAGTTCAAGTTCCAGTTTGCTATGTGTTTGAGTTTCCATTTTTTTAAAATGTGTTTCCATTAAATATTCAACTTTCACTCACCAAAACATTTTATTTGAAGTTCAGTTTTCTTCTTAAAGTAAATTGACCAGCGTCGCTCTTCGATAGTCTCCCTCAGCTGGGGGTTGAACTTTTTGGCAGGCATACCACAAATTAAGCCCTGTGTCCTCTTCTAGTGCCACTTAGGTCCCTTTCTCTTGCCCAATCTTCTGTTCTTACTGCTTCTTGCCCTGTGTTGCCTGCCTGATCTTCTGCTTTGCTTTCTGCTTCCTGCCCTATCAGCTGCTATGCAGCCTATCTCCTCTCCAGTCTATCATATGCCAAATGCAGAGACTTCCCATGCTACTTGTGGCATGAATACTGCAGATTAGCCACAGCTTGTCTAACTATTGAGAGACCCCTTGGCTCAGCCTTCTCCACTGGCTCCAGTTTGTTTCCATTGCTGACTAAGGCCTATTTAGAATCATGGAATTGGAAGGGACCTGTAGGGTCATTTGGTCTAACCCCTGCATGAATGCTGCTACTCAATCATCCTTGTCCAATGCATATTCGGCTTCCTCTTGTAAACCTCTAATGAAGAACATCTCAGAACTTCCCTGAATAATGTATTCTACTGCCTTAGTGTTGTAACAATAAAGATTTTATCTTGAGATCTAATTTTGTCTACTTTGCTGCAATTTTAAAGCCATTGTTTTGTGTTCTGTTCTCTGCAGCAAGGGTGAACAGTTGTTCAAATATTTGAAGACCTATGATGCCCCCCCAGCGCCAATTCTTTTTTTTTCTCCAAGTTAAACATGCCTGACTCTCTTAACCTTTCCTTGTATGACTTGCTTTCTAACCCCTTTATCACTTTTGTTGCCTGCATCTGAACCCTCCCTAACTTCTCCTTAAAATGCTGAGTCAAGAACGACATATGAGTCCTAAGGAATGCTGACTAGAGTGACAATATCACCTCCTGTGTCTTGCATCTAATATTCCTGTTGATGCACCCACAATTTTTATTTCCTTTTTTTATGACTATATCACATTGCGGACTCCTATTGAGATCAAGACTGTGATCCACCAAAACCTATAGATTCTTTTAGGAATTTTGTAATTTAGCCAGTTATCTCCCGTTCTGTATTTGCACTCTTTATTTAGGTCTAGCACCTTACATCCTGAAATTAAAGTAATCAATGGATCGGTATCCACATTTATTAGATACCCCATCTCTACCCATGACCTGCCAACATTGTTGAGACCCTCTGGAGCTACGTGATTGAAGGGTGGGATACAGTGCTTGTTTTGGGATAAGGCATTCATTTATAAGATGAGCTAGATTTGATTAGTTGAGAGAAGACAGCCGAAGTTTTGGGGTTTTTTAGAATGCACGGTATTCACAAACTTTTCAATAAATTCTTCCTGCCCTTACAAAAATGGTAAGAAAGACCCAACAAAGCTGTTTCCATAGAACCTAGAAAGGGCAAAGCAATTCTAATATAAGTGTTCTATGGTATTTGGATACTGCTGAACAACATAAAGAGAAACTATATAGTAAGTACTAGTTGGGGGAATATTAACTATAAATAGTGATTTCTATGACTATAAACAAAACTTTGAACACTTCTAAGTCCTAAAGTTTTTCTTTCTTCTTTCTATGGCACAGCGATATTGGAATTGGCCAGTCCCAAGATGACAGTATTGTAGGACTGAGGCAAACCAAACACATCCCTCCTGCTCTACCAGTCAGTGGAACCCTGTCATCCAGTAATCCAGACTTATTGCAGTCGCATCACCGCATCTTAGACTTCAACACAACTCCAGGTGAGCATCAGTTTTTTGTTGTTTTTTTTTTTTTAAACGCTCTATTAAGTTTCCTGAAAGCCCTTCAGATTTTGGATGTTAACATGATTTTATATTAACCACATCTATGCAGACCACATAGGTCTCTTACCTACAGCTCCTGGTCACATTGTTCCAGTTAATTCCACATAAAGATAAACATTTATGTGCATCTATTCTTTTTATGTAAGTTGAATGCATGGGTGGATCTAGGGTTGTTGGTTGTAGTCGTGTTGATCTAAGGACATAGGCAGACGAGGTTCTTTGGGTAAAGATGATATCTTTTATTAGACCAACTTATTAGTTGGAAAAATTGTTCTTTGCAAGCTTTCAGGTACAAACACATTTCCTTAGGCTTAAGGAGAGTCTGCTGGTGTTCTGGGTGCTCTACTGGGAGGAATGGGTGGATCTAGAATTTTGAAAAGTGAGGGTGCAGATGTTGAGGTTTTAAAAATGAACTAGAAGCTTTACTGATATACTAGGAGCCTAGGACTGTATTATTTAGTTTAAGATTTAAGCAAAAACGAATAAAACTATGTTGGAATGAGTTAAAGACAATTTGCAGGGCTGTGAAATAGGAGCTTCGTTGCCAGGAGCAGTACAGTAGAGAGGTTGTTAACACATGTGGAATGAATGGTTTAGAAGGGATCAGGTAGACTATAACGAGGGATAAAGTTAGTTGACTTTCTTAGCACTGCCTGACTAGAAATGCTGGCTGGAACAGGAACCGATTGGGGTGCAAGTGCACCAGTGCAGGTCCCCCTCCTTCCTCTGCCCACCACCCCCAAATCCACCTCTGTTTTAATGCATGGTTTGCCTGTAATTTTAGTGTATGGCATATATATGTTCTGATTTTGTTGTATCACCAAACTTATCTTTTGGACAATAATTTGTTCAAGACTGTAGTAGTCTGAACTAACCCACAGGAGATTTCATATACTGAAATAGACTACAATCATTTCAGCAGAGGGAGGAAGTCCTTAAACTGAAGGCAGTGAATTCAAACTCATCTGTGGTTCAGTTCCTGTTTCAGCCATAGACTTTGGTCATCTTGGACAAGTCCCTTAAGGCAAGATCCACAAAGAGATATGAATATGACGCTGCTGAGATTTTCATGACTAACTTGTAGGTGACTGAGACCCTACACTCCCCAGAGTGGAGTCCATGGCCCTGACTTGGCTGTCCAGCTTTGCTATGTAGTACACAAAAGGATTCAAATGCCTTGGAATGGGATTCATAACAGTGAACATACTGAGCGTTTGGTGCACCCAACCATAACCAGTGCAATCGACAAGCAGGCTAAATGCTAATGAAAATGCTAGATTCCCTTGTTCCTGAAAATAGCATGATTGAGGTTATGGACAAGTGTACCTTTTAACTACTTGGAAAGGAGAAAGGCAGCTGACACTGAAGAGCTTGCCTCAACTGTTACATCTGCATGATCCTGTAGATATACAGGTTAGTTAAATTGCCCTTAGTTCGACACTGAATGAAAGGAGCTTAAAGTTGTGGTGGTTTTGCTACATTTGTATTGCTAAAGAATCCTGCAAACATAACAGTTGCATCATAACAATTTGTAGGAGTATCTGTTGATATTGATATGGTTGTTGCAACTATTCCCTTACTTTGGCTGGCAGGTTGGTGGCTATGTCAGATAGGTGTTCATAGCTTGGAACTGTTTCATGGAGTTAGGTGCCAAATCCATTCCTTTTGGAAAAAAATACCTAGTTTATTCTTTTCTTTTTAAAACAGAGCAGGTAAAGAGTGTTCTAATACAATGGTGCTCAACCTTATGGCCCTGCAGGTCAGATGAGTCATTGGGTTAGTCCATAGGCTAGATTGGATCCCAACCCTCAGAACCCACATGCCTGGATCCAGACTGCTGCCTCCAGCAGGCCCCGCATGCCTAGATCAGTGCCCAGGGACCCTGAGCAGCCCAGCCCAGTCCCATGCACCAGATCAGGCCCTGTGTTCTCTCACACACTGGATCTAGAGCATAGGGTCATGGCCCATAAGCTGGAGTTAAGCATGCCTGTCCTAAGGGATAGTGCAAGTACCTAATGCTTAGAGTGCTCACACAAATAATAAGAGGCCTGACTTTGCACACCCTAACCTTAGAGGGAATTCCAACCTACGTCTCCCTATTCTGAACAGAGTGTCTTAATCATCTGTTCCTGACTAGGCTGGAATGGGGTGCCCTCCATCCTGTTCAAAACTGTGCCTCAGTGCAATAGAATTCAAGATTCACTGCGGGGGGAGAGAGCATAACTCCTTAATTATGTGCTAAGGACATGTCCTGGGGTTGGATCCCTGCTTTTAAGGGAGGATTCAGAAGAGGCTGTGTTTTTCCTACATGTATGTGCAGCACTAAGCACAATAAATACCTCATTTCCAGACCTGAAAACATCCTTGCAACCTACCAGTAGTAGTAATTGTAGTAGTGCCATTAATTGTCCAATTTGCCACACCAAAGGAAATGTAAATGTTGAATGATCCAGCAGAGACCATTTACCATGAATTTGCTGGGGATGGGAGGTGGGAAGCAGGGCAGTTTGTGGGGGAAGGAAGGAGGGAGCAGCTGGTGGGGAATCATAACGGCAGCAAGTTAAACCATAGTAGCAAATTATCCGATAGGCTAATTAACCAGAGATCACTGTTGCAGTACAGACATCAAACCCATTCCATGTTGTGAAATGAAAATTAGCAAAATTAAGTTCTTTTTACTGGAATAAAGAGATAAGGAAAGTTGGTATTCACATTTTTGCCCTTGCTTTGGAAATGGCAGAGGTGAGTTGAGCCTTCAGTTGAGCATTACAACTGCCCTTCATCCTCTTTTCTGTATATGTATTAAGGAATTACTTTTTCTCATCAAACTATGTCTAGTGGTATTTTACTTTATGAAAGCTTTTTCAAAATATACATCAAGTGCTTTAAAGTAATTGATTATTTTTTCTGCTTAAAACATCAAAGTACATTGGATACCTTAAGAACTGTAGGAGTGATTGCCTTATAGACACGAGCCATTGGATGATTTTATTGTGTACCTTAGTTCAATAAAGTGCACCCAAGTTCAATAAACCCATTTAAACTAAATCAATCAAGTCTGATACTACATCCATTGAGGCAATTGTTTACCATGTGATAGTCAGGAGAGAAGTTTTTCTGCCATATTCTTTATACTGTGGCTCTTAAACCTACTGAGTAAGTTATCTTGTTCTTGAGCCAGATAAGGACAAGCCAATGAACTGATCTTTTGCCATGGTTGTGTTCTAGCTCATTCTTATGACTTTAATTCTTTTCCTGGTAGTAGCAAGGGCTTTCTTCTCCTTTCCCTACCTATTCTTCTTTCCTTGAAAAGGAAAATGGGTGAATGGGGATCTATTTGAGAATTTTTCTTCTTTATTGACTTCTCTCTGAGACACTCCCTGCAGAGTCTAATTCCTCCATCTCCCCAAAGTCTATTTCCTGCATCTCCTCAAAGCCCAGAAAGTACCGGATAAAACTGGGGACTGATCTGTACTTGAAACTGCCCCAGTTAGCCACTGAAAGAAGACAGCTGGGTCAAGTAATGTTTCAAACGTATGGACCCTTACTCAGACAGCTCATTTTTCCTTCACCCAGCTATTTGTCCAGGTTTCTTCTTTATTTGGTGCAGCAAGCAAGTGCTCTGTTTTGATTACCATACATTCGTTTTTAAATTGGGTTTAGAAATATGGTTACATAAAGGCATTACTACATCATTGTAGTTGATCTGAAGTACAAAGGAAAGACTAAAAATTGGCCTTGACTTATCCTAATAAATATGGAAATGGTGAAGTAATCAGTCAGATTAATATATTAGTTTTTCATTGTTGTTCCTCAAGTTTCAGAATGTCATATTAAATATGAAAGGTCTTGGCTTATTTGAAGATATTTGATAAAGTAGAATGCTTAAGTCCCAGTATGTCACTAAAATCAACCATATGTAAGAGCTATTAACCTTCAAGTTTCCGAGATTGACTAGTCTGAGAACATTTAACAGTGAGGTAAAACTGCTTAATTATTATACTCTTACTTCTGTACTTCAGTTGATGAATACATGTTTCTTGTAGTAATTTAAAAATAAACATGTAGTGCACATCCAATTCTAATGGTAAATTCTTTTTTTCTGTAAATTGCTTCCAAATAAGATTGCAGGGTTTCCAGAGCAAGCATTTTCTTCCAACAGCTGAATTATCAGTATCCATCTATTAAAGTATCATTCTTAGCTGTAGACTTAGAAGACTCCTCTCTGACTTCTATTTTCATGTTGTTCAGATAACCTTTATGTCCTTCAGAGTAAAAGTACAAATTCTATAGCCTCTTTCTTTGAAACACAGAACAGGACTTTAAATCCATGACACGCATAGCAGAAGCTGTTCATCTCTAAAAATAGATATTAACTTTAATTGTCACGTAAAAATTAAAGTAACAGCAATGAAAATAAAATACCTTGTGGTTACTTTACAATTGTGCTCTTCATAATAAGCCTGCTGGTAAAGAGCTGCAAGATATTTATAGAGCTTTGCTTTTTTCTTGGTCTGTTTGTACTGTATATTGTTAGTATCATGAAAATAGGGTTCAATTACAGATTTCGGTTTAGCATCAAACTTGCAAAGATATTCAAATTCAACATTTTATTTTAGAATTCTGGGGGTTTTAAATGTCTCAAAAGTAGTAAGAATCTCTGACAGCCTTGCTCACAAACATTGTATTTTTTGCTATTAAAACAAATGTAAGAAAAAAATATTTGAATACTGAACGTGTATTTTGTGTTTTCCTTTCAGTTCTTCAGGCCAATATTTTCCTTATTAAAATGAGGAGGAAGCTATTAGTCTTGATTTATAAAATGTTATTTATTTTTGGTTTTTTATACTTAATATTTTGTTACATAATTATTCAAAAAAATTAAAACAGAAAGATAAATGTGCAATTTCATTGAATATTTTTTTTACAGTTTTGCCGACACATGTTTCCACATGTAGCTGACCACTAACCCATGAATCTTGCATGCCATTTATATGAATACCTCTCCAATATGAGCAATTGTGACACTATAGGGGCACATGCCCTCCTGGAATTAAATTTTTAAGAATTCTACCTAAAAATGGCCAACATTTTCTAACATGCTTATGCCAGATTTTCATAAGTGCTGACCTTTCTCGGTTCCCTTTCACTTGAGCATAATTTAGGGGAAGCCAGCACCTATGGAAATCAGCCTACTTTATTGAGGTTCCTTATTTTAGGTATTTGAAGATTACTTATATTTATGACGTGTATCACCATAATACCTATATCCCAAACTGTGAAGAGAGATTGAGATTCTGGTTTCTTGGGTACTTCATTTTACAACCAGATCTTGGTATTTCTTAAAACTTTTTAAGTTTGGAAGGATCTCTGCTTCCTGTTTTGAAGATGAAGCTGAGAGGAAAATGGCAAGCCACCATCAGTCTGTCTGGGTTTGCTCAGGGTATACATTTAATACTACTACTACTAACTTTGTAGGGAACCAGAAATTTTATACAGAAAATAAAGCATGCTGTCTTTGTGTTCTCAATATATAGGAGTCTAAGACTAGGGAGATATGGTGAAGACCATCTTAAGTAGCCATGTTATTAAGACTGAGGACCAGTTTGTAGGCAAGGAACTTCAGACTTCCTAAATGTGTTCTATAGTATAGCCCAGGGGTTCCCAAACTGGTACATGTACCCCTGGGGGTACGCAAGAAATCTCTTAAGGGGTATCAGGGAGAAATTGTGTATTGGCAGATTTAATTTTCATTATAGTAATAATGGACATTTAAGGGGTTATAATATAAAACATGGTAGGGGAATATGGGAAGCTGATAAATCTGTAATGGGGTATTCAATAAGAAAATGTTTGGGAACCTCTGGTATAGCCCAAGGAGTCCACTGTATCTGTAATATATTATTTATATCACACTTCATGTTCTAAATGTTCTCTTAAGTAGTTCCTAAACCTGGGGTACACTACCATGAGTAGGAGAGAGAGAGAGCTAGCTTTTGCCATTTGAGCATGTCTTGGATTAAAAATTTGTAGGTCAGGTTTTTAGGTTCAAATTCAGTTAGACTCATGAAACAGAGATCATTTGCGAGTCTTATTAATATCAGAGCAATTTTAGGAGAAAAAAAGGGTGAAACATGAAAACTGGTACTGGTACATTTGTGGAAGTAACCACACATCTTTTTCTTTTATATTTGACCTGTTTTATTAAGCTGCTGAGCACACATTTTTTTTCTTCAGACTTACCAGACCAAGTCCTCAGAGTTTTCAAAGCAGATCAGCAAAGTCGTTACATTATGATTAGTAAGGACACAACGGCAAAGGAAGTAGTCATTCAGGCAATTCGGGAGTTTGCCCTCACTGCTACGCCTGATGCATATTCATTGTGTGAAGTGTCTGTCACTCCAGAAGGTGTAATCAAGCAGAGGAGGCTTCCAGATCAGCTGTCCAAGCTTGCTGATAGAATACAGCTAAGTGGCAGGTGAGACGATGCCTATTTATTTTGTACGAACTGTGCTGCATCTGTCTGAACAGTTTTAACATTATTTTTTTTATTCTGCAAGTGTTTCAGTTCAACTTCTTGCACTCTTTTAAGTGTGCTAGAGAGTATATTATTTGTGGTCTGTATACTTTTCACAAGTATGTGATGTCCTTATCAAGTCTCTTGTCATTTGAATTTTTTTATAGGTATTATCTGAAAAACAACATGGAGACAGAAACCCTGTGTTCAGATGAAGACGCTCAGGAGTTATTAAGGGAAAGCCAAATTTCTCTGTTGCAGCTTAGTACTGTGGAGGTGGCTACACAGCTCTCCATGCGAAACTTTGAGTTGTTCCGTAATATTGAACCCACAGAATATATAGATGACCTATTTAAACTCAAATCTAAATCAGGATGTACTAATCTGAAAAAGTTTGAAGAAGTAATAAACCAAGAAACATTCTGGGTAGCATCTGAGATTCTGAGAGAAACCAACCAGCTAAAAAGGATGAAGATCATTAAACATTTCATTAAGATAGCACTACACTGCAGGGAATGCAAAAACTTCAACTCCATGTTTGCAATCATCAGGTAAATGAGGGAAGGGTAGCTTTTACTGTGAATTCAGTCTGTTATTGTGGAGTTATATATCAAGCAAAGCAAAGACTTGTATTAAACTGAAATGCAACCACTTACTACTGTTAACATCAGTTTTTTGCACAAGTCTGTAAAAATAGACTGAAGTGGCACTCAAATTATTGTTGAAATATTATTTGGTACCCTACTACATTTATAAATATTGAGATTACCGTTATTGGGGAGTACAAACATTTTGTGTGATGTGGGAAGAGTTTGATGAAATAGGAAAGATTTGGAGAAGGGCAAAGTCAGACTTAAAGCCTAATTTGAAAGAGGGAGCCCTGCCTTTCTCCCCCCAAGAAAAAACTGTTTTGTGGGGACCAGGGTCTCCAGGATTTTAAAAAGTGAGTAGAATTTGTCTTGCTAATCTGATGACCTACCTGACAGAAAGATAAAAAGGCAGAGTGAACAGTAGGAAGCATTTCCAGAGTTATAGGAATGTCTGGATATCAGTCTAGAGATCTTTGTGGTTTTCTATTCCACCCACACTGTCTTGATGTGTGTGGGCACTTTGTATCTCTTGTAAAGTGCTGTTTGACCTCAACCTGTTTTTCGCTGTAAGTTAAGGATGCTCAATGCCAGGAAAAGTGTCCGATACCTTGCATGTACTGAGTTTTCAGTAAATGTTGTTGATTGTAATTTATCCTCAGCTGCTTAGTCTGCTGATGAAAGGACAGAAATTTCCAGTGAGAAACTATTGTATGTATATCTACATAACAGAGCTGCAAAGGGCAATAGGAACAGTGGTTGTGTCCAGATGAGCACAGACATGTGGTATGTGGTGCTACAGACCCATCTGTGGCACCGCACATGCAGGCATTCCTTGCACTGCTACCTTGAAGGGGGGGGGAGGTGTTTCTGAAAAAAAGCAGGGCAGTGTACATGGCAGCAGTGGACGCTGCCCAAAACCTGCCAGAGCTACTGGTAGGGTGGCTGGAGCCAGCACAGTTACTGGCCCTAGCCTCCCCTACCCCACCTGGGGTAACCTGCCATGCACCAGAGGCCACAATCTACAAGGTGCATCACCGTTTCTTGTCCCCAGGGAAACAAACATCTGTGCTCATGTGAACACACCCAATGACTGCAATTATCTGACTTAGAGTTTATTGTTGGCTATTCTCAGATTTGTATTTCACTTACCTAAAATTCAGGTGGGTTAATTTTTTTTGTATAAAATGCCTTCAGTTAAGATGATTTTGTTTAATATTTAAATTGCCACATTTACCCAAATCCAAGATGACCCCCCCAATAATTAGATTCTATACATAGAAAAATTATAAACTTGTTATAATTTTCCATATTTAGAATCTGATTATTGGAGGCTCATATTAAATTCATCCCTAACACCACTGCAGCAGGGAAAGCAGTAGTAGGGGGCAGGTGGTGGTGGAGTGGAGGCAGTGGGGAACAGGCATTAGGGAGACAGGCTGTATGGAGGTGGTGATAGGGGAAGGGGTGGAGAGGTAGGCAGCTTGACCTCTGTTTCTTCCTACTCTTCCCTCCCCCTTTGTGCAGGCATTGGGGGAGACGGGGAAGAAGGGCAAAGTTGTGGGGGGAAGAAGTGACGCAGATAGAAGTGGAGGTGCAGGGGCCCAAGACTACATGGGGGAGAGGAAGAGGGTGCAGAGGCCGTGAACGGCAAACAGCAGCTGTGGCTTTGACTCCAAACCGAGGTAGGGCCAGAGCCACAGCGGTTTCCTGCCCCTCCCCTACCGATTTGTATTTGGTTCCAAGATGAGGGACTTCCCCCTCTACTAAATGGGGGGGGGAGGGGAGGACGGGGACTCATCTTAGAACTGAGTAAATACTGTAGAAATCAAATTAATTTAAAGAGACATAGTGCACACTTAAAAAAAAATCATAGCTCCTCTAAATATTTAAATACTTGTTCTTCAGAGTCTTTCAAGTTGAAAAACTAAAATATAAAACATCACAATAATAGAAGATAATTAAAATGCCACTAAAAAGGGCTAATGGATGTTCAAAAGCAGCCTTCCTTCCCTCCCCTGCAAAAGCTTTTGTAAACACATGAGTCCCTTGTCCTGAAGACAAGTGGATTTGAGCTCATTTGACTAGATGAAGAAACAAATTCCAGGGTTGAGGACCCTTGCTGATAATCTCTCAGCATCACTAAGAAATTTAAATCAAGGGTGTAGGTCAGCCACCTCAGCTGACCTCCCCTGGAGAGAGGCAGTGTGTCAGATAACTACCATTTGAACAATGGAAGGTTTTATCAATCCATATACATTTTTCCCTTTACAGCTAGATGTGAATAGCTGGTCAGTATAGCCTCCATACTACTGGTATAAAATACTCCATTTCTTAGCACCAAGAAGGCAGTGCTCCTCAGCTTAGAATCCATTAGAATTATTCCATCTGGAGGTGACAATGATACTTGGACTACTGCAGCAAAGGAAAGAGTCACAGAGCTTTCTCTAAATTCAAATTGCTTAAGTGAACAGGGATGCTTTATCTAGGAATCAGAAGCAACTGCATGTCCCAAATGTATTTTTAGGTTAAAGACTTCTTTAATAAAGGTTGGACACAGTCCTTGAATAGTGAGGGTGGATAGCTGTGTGTGTGTGTGTAAGGGATTAGTCCATCTGCCTCTGTCTGTCCATAACTCTCTTTAAGGGCACTGGGAGCCCGGCATGGCAGGGGGGGTAGAGGGAAGGGACAGCTGAGGAAAAGCAGGAGCTGGGCTCCTGGCTACTGTGAGAAGACCATTACCTGACTACTGTGAGCATTGGCGTTGTTTGAAATTCATCCGTCATTCTTTACAGGCAATTCACTAGTTAGTACATAATCTCTAGTCACTTATAAATATTTTCTATTTTGTCTTGCTGTATTATATTGTGTCAGTTTTGTCACTTGTTACAGTTGATTCTCATAAAATGCACATTTGTAAAAGGCATTTTTTTCTTACTGGCATTTTTGCATTTTATTGCTATATTGGTATACTGTAGACTTGGCCTTACATATGGTATTTCTGCTCCAAAGTTTTTATATGTGGATGTTATGGCTCTTTCTATTGATTTTTGCACATAATTCTTATTTAACTGGACCAAAACAAAAACTCACAAACAAAAATCCCCTTCTGAACTGTTTTAGTGGCCTGAATTTGGCACCTGTTGCAAGGCTCCGCACCACTTGGGAAAAGCTTCCAAGCAAATATGAGAAGCTGTTTCAAGATCTTCAAGACTTGTTTGATCCATCTAGGAACATGGCAAAATATCGCAATGTTCTAAACAGCCAAAACTTACAGCCGCCTATTATTCCTCTGTTCCCTGTTATCAAAAAGGACCTTACTTTCCTTCATGAAGGTAAACACAAAATCCTTTAGCTCTTTACTACTTGATGGAAATTAATTTTGCAGCTAGCAGCTAATGCTGTTGCTAATTGCCTTCCCCCCTCTCCCCCCCTCTTGCTGATTGTAGGAAATGACTCAAAAGTGGAGGGCTTGGTTAATTTTGAGAAGCTGAGAATGATTGCAAAAGAAATTCGCCATGTTGGTAGGATGGCTTCTGTTAACATGGATCCTGCTTTAATGTTCAGGACTAGGTAAGTTTTCTATCTTCAGTGAGTTTCAATGAATTGAGATGAAAGGCTGAGTATCGATAATGAAATGAGGTGTTCTTTTTAGTGCCCCTTCATATCCACAACAAAAGAAACATTGCAGATTTGAATAATGAAAGATGTGAGACTTAGGGGCCTGAGCTCTCATTGTATGCAATGTGGGGGACTGTTCAGTTACCCCACCAGGTTATATATTTTCTGTATCACTCAATGGATGTAGTACTATTTACACTGACTTGTACCAATTTTAATTAATCATGATTTTGTACTGTGTATATGTTTAAAAACAAGTCTTAAAATTAGAATAATTTATAAACCTTACCATGGACAGGATGGTTTTTCTGTTCTCTCATTGGCAGACGACTGTGATTATATCTTACCAATTTATAGGCTGAAGAGATTCTCTTTGTTTGTACTGTATTAAAGGAGAGTTTATTGATTGAAATGTTGATGTATAGGTGAGTCTGAAACATTTTGTGCTACAAGTAGGAATATTTAAACTACAGCAATAAACCAGCATTGCAGGAAATATATTAAATAAATTATCTTTGGTTATGTGTAGAACCAGTTCAAGGGTTCAGGTTAGACTTAGTTTAAACTAGAAAAGATTTTAATATCTGACTGTGTCTGAGATAAGGCTTGTTTTAATGTTTGTTTGAGCTTCTAGTACTGCTTGTCCTGTAGTCTGGTCTTTTTCTTTCTGAGCTTGTGATCTTTCTCTGTCTCTTTCTAAACCCATGCTTTACTCTTCCTGGCTCTTACTTACAGGAAGAAGAAATGGAGGAGTTTGGGGTAAGTGGTTGGAGACAACACACGCAGACATACATTCTTTTCTTTGCATTTTCCTACCTACTATCTTTAATTTTCTGATGCTTTGACTTTTTTTAATTTTGTTAACCCTTTTGTACTGACATTACATTTAATCAAAAGGTGCTTTTGCTTGCAAGGTCACAAACACAAGAGCTGTGAAACTATTTCTTAATATTTTTGAGATAAGGAAAAAGTGTTTGTTTAGTGTACCCAGGAACTCTATTTAAATCTCACCAGGCTGACTTGCACTATAAAGGTCATTCTAAAATGGGCAAAGAGAAGTAATAATACAGCTAAAAAAAATTGCAACTAATTGACTTATACCTAACAAATGAGCTGAGATGATCAAAGGAACCGATTTAAAAAATAAAATAAAAATCAAGTACTTTATTTTTTACAGCTCAACTAACTTTTGTTTTCACCCTACAAACCAGCCTCTATTTGTGTTACCTATAACATATCAGAAACCATAAATTGCTTCCATATATACATATACACATCAAAATGTGCATGACATTTATTTCCTCATAAACTAATAGATCAGTGGTTCTCAAACTTTTTTTTCGCGGATCACTTGAAAACTGCTGAGGGTCTCAACGGACCACTTCATCTCCATCATCAGAAAAAATGAATCAAGTGCAGGGCCAAGTACAGATATTCCCAATTGTTCTGCAAGCTTTCTGCAGATCACCTGAATGGAGTTCGTGGACCACAGTTTGAGAACCTCTGTAATAATAGATCATTTTATTTAACAAAATCTTTTATCTCATTCAACTCAGGGAATTTTCTGGTTTTTTAAAAAGTCTATTTTTATCACAAATGAATTATTTAAACAACAATATTAAAAGACGTAGAAGACATTTTTCTGAACCCTTTCTAGATGATATGTATTTATGTTTGAAGCTCAGTTACAGTTGTCTGTCAGCATTGCCTTGCTGCATGAGCTTTTCTTAATGCTCCGGCCTTTGCAGTAGCTGACTTATGTGAGAGAACAAGCTTGAATGCTTTTCTAGATGTGTGAAGTGACATTGCTTAGTTGGAACAGAATAGGTTCCAGGCATTTATTTTATTTTAATTAGATATATATTATTTTAACCAAGTAATGATATCTCTTGACCCCTCATCCTTCTATCTGTTATAGCTGTTTGACTTACTGGAATGAGGCATGTAAGCTTTGATCATAGACTGACTGTCATGCAATCTTGCATGTTTCAAATTCGCTAATTAACGTAGTGCTGCACTAAGTCACATCTTTGTCCTCTTCCCCCTTCACTCCAGGTCTCTCAGCCAGGGCAGTACAAATGCAGCTGTGCTAGATGTTGCACAAACAGGGGGTCACAAAAAGCGGGTTCGTCGCAGCTCCTTCCTCAATGCCAAAAAGCTGTATGAAGATGCTCAGATGGCGCGGAAAGTGAAGCAATATCTCTCTAATTTGGATCTAGAAATGGATGAAGAGAGTCTTCAGACACTGTCTTTGCAATGTGAGCCAGCCACTAACACACGTGAGCATTTTCACTAAATAAGGATTCTAAATAGTAGCTCTGTTAGATACTTGGACCTATATGGAATTTTTTTTTTTTTTTTTTCTCAGCAAGGAATTCGAAGAAACAAAATGTGGTCCGTGAAAATTTTCAGGAAGTAAAAGATGCAGTGTTGGCAGAATATATTAAGTTTGCCCCATTGGCCAGTATTTTTTTGGATGCCATAGTGCTTAGCTCTACAAGGACTTTCCCTTACCAATGCCACTGAGGAGCTAATGCCCTTTCACAAAATTAGCAGGGCTGGAAGGGACCTCAGGAGGTTGCTTAGTCCAACCCACTGCTCAATGCAGGATCAGCCCTCATTCAAAGTAGGACAGTCCTTTTCTCTCACTTTTGTACATTATGGGTGCTCTTGCTCTTGGCTGCCAGCATCAGCAGGTAATGGTGAATTTATGACCTGGTTGTTAGTGCACTTTTCTGGTAAGTGGATGATGAAGGTTCAGATCCCTTCTGGTTGAGGAGAGCCTAGAACCTGGGTCTCCCACTCCTAGGGCAAGGGCTCTAACCACTAGGCTGTTGGGCTTAAAAGTAGTATACCCTCTGCCACTCCACTTGCAGGATCAAACAGTTACTAGCCCTACACTGTCTTGTAACTAATGTTTCCAGGACGTGCATGGAGTTTTCATGCTTACATCTGGCAAGTTGCACAGGATCTAAAAATTGGTGAATGACTTGAAACACCTAGAAAATTTTAGCTGGATAGGTGCGCAGGTGCTATCTATTTACCAAAAGAAGAGTTGTATTTGGGCCAAGCATGAATTATACTCATCATTGAAGGTATTTGAGGACCCTTTTAAGTAAAATTAGAACCTTTGAATTTTTCTGGTCCTGAATCCTGAGATATTAGTAGGTAGTAGTCATCCATTCTTTGTTTCCTTCTTTATGTTACAAAGTACCGAAGAATCCAGGGGACAAACGTTCTGGGAAATCAGAAACATCACCAGTGGCTCCTAGGGCAGGAACCCAACAGAAAACACAGCAGCAGCATAAAGTAAACCAAGCATTACAGGTTCCCGCTGTGTCTCTTTATCCTTCTCGTAAGAAAGTACCAGTGAAAGACCTCCCACCATTTGGTAAGCAGAATGAGAGTGCATTTCATTCAAGACTCCAATATTTATTTGTGCAATTCAAGAGCATGTAACTTTAAAGCAATAAAAAGGTTTGAAAATGTAGTTCAAATGAACACTGCTAGTCAAAATGTGGTATAATACCTAGTTGCAATGGCAAAGATTATTTTCTAACTTCTCATTTGTAACTTGAAACCTTAAAAACAATTCTCAGAAAGGATATTTCTAAGCCAGGTAAACTAGGAAGAGGTTTTATACAGGCCATAGCATAACTAGTAGGCCTGTGTGAAGCGGCTAGTATTCGCTTTGGATCTGGATTTGGCTGATTCGGGGGACAGAGATTCAATTCGGTGAATCACTGAATCTCTGAATCAAACAGACCCATCCCCCGCCTGCTTTCCCAGCCCCATCAACGGCTGTCCCGCCCAGCCCTAGCATCGCAGCTCCTTTTTTTTTTAAAAGCCCACACTCACCAGCTCCTGCCAGGCAGGGAGCAACCCCCACTTCCCCCCACTGCCCCATGTTGCATGGGGGCTCTGCCATGAGCTCCCAGAGACCCCAACGGCCACTGCAGCAGCCAGTGAGTGCAGGGTTTTTTTAAAAGCACAGATGCTGGGGCCGGGCAGAGCAGCTATTGGTGGGGATTGGGGCTCATGACAGGCTCCCCCCCATGCAGTGCGGGGCAGTAGGGGGCAGCGGGGATCACCCCCCCTGCCTGGCAGGAGCCGGTGAGTGCAAGGCTTTTTTTTTTAAATTATAAGTGGGGGGATGCTGGAGCCGGGTGGGGCAGCTATTGATGGGGCTGGGAGAGCAGGTGGGGGTCGAGGGGTCCCCAGGGGGACTGGGGGAGTAGGCAGGGGATGGGGCCTGGCAGGGATTCCCCCCCTATGGTCCCCTCCCTCCTCCTTCAGCCCCCCCTCCCCCCATCCCATACTTACTGGCACGGAGTCCGGATCCATCTCCCTGCAGTGGCAAGCAGGGACAGACCGAATCGCCAAATCTTTTTCTGAATCGATTCAGAGGCTTCGGATCAATTCAGACCTTTCTATTGGTCTCCTGATTTGATTCAGATTCGGAGATTCGGCTGCTGAATCGGGCCGAATCTCCTCCAAATTGAATCAGTACCTGAAGCTTCACACAGCCCTAATAATTAGGGCCGGGCAACTGGGACACAAGGTGGAATAGAGACGGGGAGACTCCTGAGTGGTAGCAAGGGGTTGTGCTCAACTTGAGTTCATCCGGGGGGGAGAAGCTGCAGTTTGGAGTAGGCATCGAATTCATCAGCCTTTCTTCTTTTTCCCATGCTGTACAGCCAGCAGCTACTGGGTTAAGTGTCTCACAGACATTACAGAATTAAGGATTTTACAGTGTTTACCACATACAGTTCATTGGCAGCTGTGGAGAGTTAACGTTGCTGTTGTGGCAGCGGTGTCTGTCATAGAGAAATATGGGGAGGCTGATGAGGGGACTCCGCTCCTCCTTACCCTCTAGTCCTTGGGTAAGCCTGTGCCACCTTAACTAAGATTCTGCCTCCCCCCTCTTTCCCACTCTTTTCTCTTGTGCTCAGCATCGCCCACTACCTAGTGCAGGGGTGGGCAAAATACAGCTCACAGGCTGGATCTTACCCTCCAAGGTATTGTTTTCCAGCCCAGGTGCAGGTGGCAGCTCAGGCCATGGCGCATGTCCTGCCGCCTCTGGGTATGCAGCGTGGTTGGACTCATCTTTCTGGCAGCAGCGGTGGCTCCCACCTCCAAAGCACCTCAGTCCATCTACCACACACCCACCATTGGGCATAACAGGCAAAGCAGGTCGACAGGGAGACCAGCCTAGGACCTCTGTGAGTAGGGCACGCTCACCTGGGAGGATGGGATGAGGCTATAGGAAGGTTTAGGGGGCAGTGTCCAGGATCACAGCTCTGTCCCAGGCCCCATCCCTGCACTGACACCACCCTGCGATCCTGGCCTCAGCCCTGCCCACCCATCCCCTTCCCAAACACTGCTCCCCACCCACCTGCAGCCCTATCCCATCTGCCTGACTGAGCACACCCTGCCCACAGTGGTCCTGGGTTTATTTCCATGAAGAGCCCACTCACCCACTGCTCCATCTGGTATCCCTGGCAATGGGTGCAGGTCAGAAGAGTCTGGGCCAGGTAGGATCAATGGCCGCCCTCCCCTCCCTCCCTTGCCCTGCACTGAGTACTCCCACTTCTCCTGTTGTGCTGGGTCACCACCATCTTGCCCCTGCCCACCAGTCCACAACAGCTTACTAAAACTCCCTAAGTGGCCCCCCAGCCCAAATAACTGCCCACACCGATTTAGTTCAAAGAAATATCTAGCCATGTCTCTATACATGCAACGATTTGAAAGAGCTTTGCTCTCTGTTCTGTCTCCATCTGCTGTCGGGCTCTACACATATTGTTTAGACTGTCACAGAGAGAATTAGTGAGACCAAATAAGCAAGCAGTAATTTAGCATTACTCAAGTTCCTTAGTTGCTGCTTGAATTAGCTGTGATGCTTCAGTCGGTCCTCTTTTGCTCATGGTGGGAAGGATTTTGAAAACCAATTAGGCTGGGCTGATCAAATAATTCTGAATTCTGGATCAGATCAAAGACAAATTCTGTGCCATACCTGAAGAACATTTCCACCCCTAAAATATTCAAATCTGTCAAAGTTGCTCTGTTTACACTTTTCAGCAGCAAAGCTCTCTCATTTGAGGAAAAAAATGTGCAAATCAGATGTCTATTTTAGAAGATTTCATCAGTCTTTATATCCTAGATCTTCTCCAGAGAAAGACAGCTGTAAAAATATATTACCTCTCCAGATCTGTGCTTGCCCGTGATCTGCCTTAGCTCTTTTTTTTATTTTTGACCTTGTAGGCTATTTAGGAACTGAAGAGCAGGTGAGATCCTTCTATATAACCATTCAGAAAACAACTGGATCGGTCAGAGGATGTGCATCTCTAACATTTCTGATTTTCAGGATTCTAGTAGCCATCGAGATGATGCTATATCCCAGATTATAGATTAGTATATCCCTGAACAACATTTACAAAGTTACCTTTTAAGTGAACTACTAGAAGCCCAGTGACAACAGCATGTTAGCTAATGGACATGGTCCAGAATCTGAAGGAGACTGGTCTGCTTTCATTTTCCAAGCTGAATAAAATGTAGGAGTAGAGAACATACCATAAATAGAAAGAATAAATAAAATGTTTATTATTGAAATCAGTATCAGTAGCTCAAAAAAGAAAAATGCTTAAAAACATTTTACCATTTACAGTGTCCTCCTTTAATAACACACTGTATAATTGTTTGAGATTTTATGCATATATTTCCATTCTTCCTTTCTTAAAGGCATTAACTCACCACAAGCTTTAAAGAAAATTCTTTCTTTGTCTGAGGAAGGAAGTTTGGAGCGTCACAAGAAACAAGCTGAAGACACAATATCAAATGCATCTTCACAGATGTCTTCTCCTCCCACTTCACCACAGAGCTCTCCAAGGAAAGGTATAAGATGCATACTAAATTTTGTATCTTTTTCTTTTCACCTCCCGGTTTTAGAAATAGCTTTGAGAGAATTATGGAGACGTAGTGAATCCTTCACTTACGTTCTGTCATGGGCAAGGTCAGCCAGGGAGCACAGCAGCAGCACTCCAATAGAGGCATTAGGAACCATTAGCATAAGACAGGAAGATGGTCTCAAGCAGTCTAGACCCCATGTACTACACAACTTGCATTCCTGTTGTGTCAAACTACCATGATCCCTTCTTCAGTTGCTTTATGCCAATGGTAGCATAAATGGGTGAAATGTTTTGACCTTACAATGCCATTATAAGGCAACAGTGGGTGCATTAACTCAATCCACTGCTTACTGCTCTAGGAATTGACAAGATTGAAGTCCAGTGTAGCTGCTGTGCAGTTGTGCTAGATGAGGAGAAATCCATGTAATACAAGGACAGATTTGCCTAGATTGGCTTGAGAGACAGACCCTCGGTGCTTTAGATTTTCTGTCTATTTGCAGCATGGTTACTGCAAGAATTAATGGTAAATATCTGAAGAATAGTATTGCACAATGAAGCTTTCTTGCTCAGTTACTTTAATAAAAACTATTCAATAAAATATTTATTCAGTAAGAGTACTGCCAAGCATGGCTACCCAAATCATCATTTATTTCTATTTTCTTGAAAAGGATTATTATTTAGAAATTGTGATAAACAGTTTAATTTCTATCCTGTTTCCTTTTTCATTGGATTTAAAAAGGGGGGAAAAAACTCCAAAAAAACAAAACATAGATACTTGCCCTTTTTTATTTAAAAAAAAATGTGGGAAAAAAAAAAAGAATACCACTATAGAAATACCTGACGTAGGACTATGCTATTGTAACGTTGATGTTATGTTCTCCTTCCAGTCTTTTTAAATAAATATAGAAATCAGTTTAGTGGCTTGTATTTAAAGGGAAGGGGAATGAGAGTGGTCACAGTTGAACTCCCACACAGCAAGAATGTTGGCCTCTGAAAGAGTAGCAGTAATTCTGACCAGATTAAGAAATTGAAACTCGCATGCATTTCATGTGGGTATTGCACTCTATTTTCTTTGTCAAACGGATATCTAAACCCTTTTCTCATCCTGTTAGGTGGCAGTGGCAATCAGCTGAGATCTTATGGCTCCAGACTGTCGGACCTAACCAGTTCCTCCTCTTCTCTTGGAAGTGAGAACAGTAACAAGAATAACAATGCATCACGGACCTATGGGATAGGTGGGGTTTACCTAGAACCAAAAAGGGAAAGAATAATCACAAGAACAATTGGGTAAAGAGAGTTCTAAAAAGAGAGAGGGAGAATGCCTCTCAAAAGCACAGACAAATACCCCAAACCTCTGCCTAAGTGATCTTTTCTGTAGTTGAGATGGAGGAGGATCTTATGCAGAAAAGGCTTTGATAATCTGCTTTAATCTTTGTAAGATCTCAGCATACATTTTTTTCAATAACTTTTTAGGAGGGAATAAATCTACATTATTTTGATCACATTTGATCAACACCTGTGTTTTTTTTTTCTTGAAAAAGGAATCAGGATTCTATGTTTAGCTAAATGGAGAGGAAGCAGTACTGTGTACTTGGAAAAACAAAATATGAAAATGATTTTAAACCGTAAAGCATATTCAAGATTAATGGCATCATGAAATTAACATCTGTAAATATGCCCTTGTAAATTAATCATATGTGGCAATGTTGGGGCTATATTCTAAGCAAGTGTGAATGGGGGAAGCTCAGTTGAAGTTTCCTTGAAGCTCACTGGTGAATGGCAAACCAAAAATGGAAACTTCATTTATGCACAAATATATGTTCTTGAGTGACCTTTAACTTAACTGGAAGGTCATTAATACAACATTATGTTGTAATAACTTAAGCAAAAAACTCTTTCTGCTCTTATCCTGCATGGCTCTTAAACCATAGATGGTATCCCAAAGTCTGACAATCTTACATTTTTGGATAAACTTAATCCAAAAAGCCTCACCGCAATCCATTTGATGCCCGGTATTAACATTATTATATTAATAATGTTAATCACTTACCGAATACAACCAAGATTTAGAAGTATGACAGCTTTTGAAAAGGTGAGTGTAAAAATTTTGGAGGCACTTCATCAGCCTAAATAGTGGAGAAGCCTTCAGCACAGACATTTATGCTTAATGTAGTTTTCATTTTCTATTTGCAATTCACCCCTGAAATGTAGCTTTGTAGAGCAGACAAAATTGTGTGCAGGAGAGGATCTACATGGAATATTGGTATCATCCAGCCACATGTCTATACTCCCTTTAATCTTTGAGAGCATTTAGATGCATAAACTTGCGAATGTAATTCTTATCAAGAAGAGTATTTTTCACATAAAGCTAGAGATCCAAACATATACTTGTGACAAACTAGGTGTTGATTCTGTAAAGAAAGGGGCAAACTTTTCTAAATACAGATATTTCATGTTGTCACTTTTTTAACTCTAATCAGAAATAAAATGCATATTAGTTTAAAGGTCCCATTGCATTATTTTTGCCTCACACACTGCTGCTCTCCATGAAAGAAATGCTTTCAAAATGTTACGTACTCTAATAACAGTCATACTAAATGTCTATCATATGTTGAAAATGTCTGTAACAAGTTTTTGGTTGCAAACTTGGAATGCCTGATTAACGTGATGCTGTTCCTTATGCAGGCTATACTTTGGCTCCTAGTGGCACAGTGGATAACTTTTCAGATTCTGGTCACAGCGAAATTTCTTCCAGATCTAGTATTGTCAGCAATTCCTCTTTTGACTCCATGCCAATCTCGTTACATGATGAGAGAAGACAGAGGCATTCTGTCAGCATCGTAGAAACTAATCTTGGTGTGGGGAGGATTGATAGAAGAACCATGATTGAACCAGATCAATACAGTTTAGGGTAGGAATTTTACATGTTTACACTTGTAAAGAATTTTTTTTTATGAATGTTTCTCCCCTCTGAAGGAAAATTCTACTTCTTTCATCTAAATCACTATCGCATCTCCTCACATATTTTAGTTCTTGAGAAAATGTGTCAGCCTCTTCCTACCCTGCACTAATGTGTGTAGCACTAACAGTAATCACTTCATACTTGTTCTGTATCTTTTAAGACGCATGTGCCCTGGATCAGGGCAGGGCAGGCTGCAGCTGGGGCCAGGGGCCGTGCTGGGCTCTTCCAGGGGGGGTGGGGTGGGGTGGGGGCTGCGCTTGGGGAATGTGGCGCTGGGAGGGGATTGGGGGGGTTATGGCATTATTTGGGGTGGCTGCAGCGCCCCCCCCCCCGGGGCACCCACCCCAAGCACAGTGTGGCCTAGCCACTCCTCCCCATCCTCCACCAGGAAAAGCCTGGCACAGCCCACAGCTGCAGCCCGCCCCATCCTGCACAGATCGGGGGGGGGTTACCCCCCCCAGCCTCCTGGGGTGCCCACAGTGGCGGGGAAAACCCCCCCCCCCCCCCCCCCCCCC